CTCCGTGCTCGTGTCCGAGGTGACCGGGGCGGCGGGCTTCCCCGCCCTGGCCTCCTCGGCCTCGCCCGCGGGCGCGGCCTGCGCGGCACGACGAGGACGACGAGGACGAGGACGAGGACGAGGACGAGGACGAGAACGAGGACGACGACGACGACGAAGACGACGCCGGCGGCGGCGGCGGCGGCGGTGGCGGTGGCGGCGACGGCGAAGGCGACGGCGACGGCGACTGCGAAGGCGAGGGCGACGGCGACTGCGAAGGCGAGGGCGAGGGCGAAGGCGACGGCGACGGCGGCCGCGGCACACGGCACATTGAACACGACACCCGACGACGAACGACTGACGACGATGGTGAACGATGTCGCCGACGACGACGCCGACGATGATGATGACGTCATCATGTTGCAGGTCTCCATGTTTTTTTCCACGAGGGGTTCTCGTTACCGCGGCTGGGAGCGGCTCGAAGGACCTACACGGTACGACGACGACGATGACGACGACGACGACGACGACGACGACGACGACGACGACGACGACGACGACGACGACGACACAGGACACGCGTCACCCGATGACGACCGACGGACTACGATGACAACGCCTTGACGTGATGGGCCCTTGTTTCTGACTCCGCGTGAAGCATTGAACATCGATAGTTCAAACGAATCGGAGGTCATAGGGGCAAGAAGGGGTCCCTCCCCGGAAGATGCTCATCCATAAACGTCAACGCTGGCGTCGCCGCCGAGTCGAAGCGGCACGAACCTGCCGTACAGTCGGGACTAACTGCAGAGAACACCCGAGACGATACCGTACTCTTCCAAGGGCAATCCTTGCGCCAGACATGAAGAGGACACCAGAAACGATAGACAGGACACAAGGGTTCGCTTGATTCTGTAGGGTCGACATGCTAATCAGACACGATAGTGGCCATAAAGAACGTGGGTCCAAAACATGCCTCGTAGCCCCAAATAACCAAACACCAGGAACATTACTCCAGGGTGGAGAGCCTAAACTCGAGTCAGAGGTAATCAAGCCCGGCCCAGACATCCAACGCCTGTACGTGTTCAGTCACGACGTCTCTGGAAGTCCCGACCCTTCCCCCGGGGCCAACTTTTCTTCCTGAGTCAATCTTTGACGGTCCTGGAATTCAGACGGCCCCTGCAGGCCGAAAACTGAGAAAACCTTCCGCGCTGCGTTGTCCTATGCGACGGAGGCTTGTGACAAAGAGTGAGACGACCCTCTCCTCTGACGTCGCAAACTTGTCGTAACGTGGGCCCCCAGGGCTCTCGACCCGTTCCCCGTGGCTAAATTGTCACCCTGAGTGGTGTTCTGGCGATCCTTGGACCGGAAAGGGGGACGAAAACGTAGAACAACTGGCCGATGCGATCTGTTTGCGACGTCCGGATCCGCTGGGGAGAAGCGGGAGATGGGCGACGAGGGGGAACCAGTGCCCGGCCGCGAGAGAGCCGCGCGCCCGCGGAGGCTCCTCGGCGCTGAGGCCCGCGGACGGCACGAAAACTGGCGCCTGCGGCGGGCGGCAAAGGGGCGAATCGAGCTTCGAGAACCGAGCATTCTGGTGTTGTTGCGTGAATTGGAGCCTCCATGAAGAAACCCATCATCATGGCTGGATCCCCATTCGAAATTCTGTCCAAACCTCACCCGCAGAAAAGGTCTGGGGGTCGGCTTTTGAGGGAGGGGCCAGACATCTGGCGGATTCTTTTCTTCAATCCCAACACTTGTCCTCAATCTCAGCCTCTGGAGGCCGTTTCGCGCCCAGGGAGCATCACGAATGATTCCGGGACCGAAAGTTGCCCTTGGGAGGTGGCTGGGTCCTCTGGGACCGCGGACTGAGCAAATCACATCGTCGGGTGTCTGGGAACGGGAGAGGGCTCTCATATTTGTCCGTGTCACGAGAAGCCAAGACGGCTAGTTGTTCATCGATCTGGGCCACTGGAGGCCCGTTCCTGGCCCTTCGACCGCCAGGAAACGATCCAGAATGAAAAACCAGCCCCAAGGAGGGTGCCGAGAGCCATGAGGGCTCGCGCCACAATGAGGCGTCGCGAAGTCTGGAGGGACTAGCACATGGTGCAGCTGCGAAAGCTCCTCCTTGAGGATCGAAAACATCCATTTGGGAGGTCGAACCTGGCTGCGCTTGGGAACAACATAAACGCCTCCAGAATGAAGGGTCTTCCGGAGTGGAGGTCGAACCTCGAGCTCGCAACGGCGAAAAGCTCATCCGCCTCTCTCCATTCCGTCACGGCCACGGAGGCCCCATACGGCAGCACTCCCGCCTCCTCGAGGGGACTTGAATGGTAGACAGAACACGTGCCTCTCGTCCAACCCCCCAGCCTTCCCATTCACCCTGGTTCTCTACTGGCCTCCTGTTTCAACCACTTGGGAGACAACTTCTAGTCCTGGGCCCATTGCTGGCGGCCCCGAATGAGGGGGCCAACCCCGAAAATTGAGATCAAAGAAACACCGCTGGTGCCGGAAAAACATCTGACGCGAATGACATGGTTTGGGATCTTTCCGCTCCGCGAATCGGGGCAGAAACAGGTCCTGGATTCCAAGGCCCTTCCTTAGGAACAGCTTCTCATCCTGGGCTGACAATTAACGGTCTCCGGGTCCTGGGAGCCAGAAAAAGGCGGAGAGCCCCTAGGACCCCTTTCCGCCAGGACTCTTTTTCTTCACGGCGCCCGTGAGACACCACCCACGGGCCCCAAACCCCTCCAAGGGCGCGACTTTGGCAGAATCTGGATGGAGAATCCAGCCGTAGCGACGAGAACCATCCCGGAGACTCAAAAGCGCCCCAAAACTTCCACCCTCAATCGAAGCCACGAAGGACTTTCGGCTAGACGAAAGGGTGATTCTAGCGTTGGTGCGTGGCCTGCAAATCGTTGCATGCGATGCGACAGTAGCGGCCTGCGTGCTGGGGGTTCGGCTGCCCGCGCCCCCCGAGAGCCGCACACTAAAGGTCACCCAGGCAAAGGGTCACTTCTACGTGTAGCCGGAGGCATGCAGGGCTCCCTGCCCCCCCGCAGATCCCCCGCGGTGCCACCAGGACGCCCCCAATGCCACAGCGGGCCGCGGGGGCCTCGGACGACATGGCCATTGGCGGCTGGGCGCCGAGCGCGAGCGCCTCTCGCGTGGGGGAACGCGTCGTGGCTTGGGGGACACAGGAAGGATCGAGGAGCATCCGGGGACAAAGGAGGACCGAGGAGGTCCGAAGATCGAGGGTTCTTCTGTTCCTCTTCCTCTTCCTCCTCCTCCTCCTCCTGCTCTTCCTCCTCCTCCTCTTCCTCCTCTTCCTGCTCCTGCTCATGCTCCTCCTCCTCCTCTTCCTCCTTCCACTGGTCCTCCTCTTACTGCTCCTCCTCCTCCTCCTCCTCCTCATGCTCCTCCTCCTCCTCCTCTTCCTCCTCCTCCTCCTCCTCCTATGACAATGCACATAGCTGATGTTGGCGCGGCCCCACATTACCCGAACGCCTCGTACAAAAAGGCGCGTCAGGCGGGGCGGCGGAAGGATGAAACAGGATCGGGGGGGAGCGAAAATGCAGTGGAGGATCGAGGTTCGATGAAGATCGAGGATCGAGGACAATCGACGATGGAGGATCGAGGGGATCTAAAAGGATCGAGGAGGAACGTACATCGAGGATGATCGAGAAGAACCGAGGAAGATCGATTATAAAGGATGATCGACCATCTAAGAACTTCTGCAGATCGACGAGGAACGGAAGAGACACGGGGCTTCCTCCCTCCTCCTCCTCCTCCTCCTCCTCCTCCTCCCTCTTTCCTTCCTTCCTTTCTGCCTTCAACATGTCCTTCTTTCCTTATTTCGTTCCTTCTTTCCTTCCTTCCCTCTCTCCTTCCTTCCTTCTTTCCTTCTTTCCTTCCTTCTCCTCCCCCTCCTCCTGCGGAATCCGCAACCCCGTCGCACAACCAATTTCAAGGCGCGCGTCCAGCGTGGCTGGGCGCGTCGCGGCCGGTTGTTCACTCCCCACAAAAAAGAAGAAAGGGGCGTGCCCATCTGATAACTCTTCCTCGGCGCCTAAATTCAATGGGCGGTGCCGCTCCGCCTGGGCGTCGGCCGCGCGGCGCACCCCTTAAAAAGCGGCAGCAGGGAAGGGGGGGGGAACGGGGAAGGGGGGTAGGAGAAACGACAAGGCGGAAGAAACGGGGCCGCGGCCGCGCGGCGCCAGCCACCCCGCACAACCGCCAGGCGCCGCGTGCAGCCGCTGGAGGCAAGCAGCAGGGAGGGACAGGAGGGGGGAGGAGCGAAGGTAAGACGAAGCGCAACATGCCAGAAGGATAACGGGAAAAAGGGGGCGGAGGGCGGCAGAAACTGGCAATTGCGAAACGGGCGAGACGGCGACTCGAAATAGCCAAAACACGACTACGGAGGCGACAGAGGCCAAAACGACTACGGGGGCGGGAAGGGGAGGAGGAGGAGGAGGAGGAGGAGGAGGAGGAGGAGGAGGAAGAGGAGCAGTAGGAGGAGGAGGAGGAAGAGGCATAGGCGGAGGCGGAGGAGGAGGACCAGTGTAAAACCAAGAGTCATCAATGGTGTTGGAATTAACCCTCCCTCAAAGCTCCCACTTCATAGGTCCCCACTGAGGGAACTTCCTCGTTGGAAGACAAGCGCTTGAAGATCTTAAATCATAATGAAACATTGTTTTCGGGATTTCCACGCCACGTATCAACCTGACTGCTGCGTCTTGACGATCCGGAATCGTGCCAGAGCGCCACCTTTGCGACTTCGACACCGCGGATCAACATAGCTGTTGCACCCGCATAATTCTGAATCCTTCCCAAACACCATTTCTGGTACGTTGATCATGGGAATCCGTGAAACTCTGGCAAATGTTGAAAACGAATGTACGAGGCGCTCACGCCAGAGCCATATTTTGAAAAGGAACCGCCCTCAATCCGTGAAGCTCTTACAAATTTTTAAAACTAATGTGCGCGGCGCTCAGGCCAGAACCACATGTTGAAAACCACCCGCCCTCAATCCGTGAGACTCTTGCAATTGTTTAAAACGAATGCGCGCGGCGCTAAGGCGAGAACCGCATTTTGAAAACGGCCCGCCCTCAATCCGTGAAGCTCTTGCAAACTTTGATGAGTGTGCGCGGCGCTAAGGCGAGAGCCACATTTGGAAAACAAGCCGCCCTGGATCCGTGAAACTCTTGCACATTGTTACAGCGAGTGTGCACGGCGCTATGGCGAGAGCCTCACTTTGAAAGGGACCCGCCCTCCATATGTGAAACTGCTGCCACTTCTTAAGCTTCAGAATCATAAATGGTGAGGGAGTCTCAGGCGAAACGCCCGGCCCGCCTTAAAAACTGGCCTCGGGGTGCGACAGGGAGGCGTCATCTATAAAGGAGAAGAAATGGAGGAAGAGGAGGAGGAGGAAGAGGAGGAGGAGGAGGAGTAGAAGGAGGAGGGGGAGGAGGAGGAGGAGGAAGAGCAGGAGGAGGAGGAGGAGGAGGAGGAGGAAGAGGAGGAGGAGGAGGAGGACGAGGACAGGCGAGTCACTGGCAGGACGGCGCCGTCCGCGCCTGCGGGCCGCCTCAGAAGAGTGCGCGCAGCTCAGGGCAACCGTGTGCCACTCCTCCCGCGGCCAACCGCCCCTGCCCCGGCCCCCCTGGCCATCAGCGCGACGGAGTCGCGCATGCGGTCTTCGTCGCCGCCGCAGCGGCGGCGGAGGAAAGCGGAGGCGGCCCCCATGCAGCCGGCGGCCATGAGCTCCTCGTGCAGGCGGCCGATTCCGCCAGGAGCGGCAGCAGGCGCCGCAGGGCCGGGGGCCAGGACGCCTCGGCGCCCCCCGCCTCGCCGCCGTGGCCCCTGGCCACCAGGCGGGGCGTCCGCCGCTGGAACGCGAGGTGGTACGCCTGTGCCTCCGTCGCCGCCATCACCATCAAGACCTGCAACCGCGGCACGGGCAGCTCGAAGCTCGGCCTCGAGCAATATCGCCGCCGCGGCACGCACGATGCCCTCCGCGCAGCGTAGCAGCCGAGCCGCGAACGCACCCCGCGCCAGGCCAACAGCGCCATGCACCGCCAGCGCGGCCCCGCGGGCCGCAGCCAGCGTTGCGCGGCGAGCCGTCGCCGCCGCCATCGGAGGCCCGCGGCGGGCCAGGGGCCCAGCGGCGGCGAGCTCGACGCGGACACGGCTTGAGCCAAAATGGCTCCAGAGGAGGAGGGAGGTGGAGGAGGAGGAGGAGGAGAAGGAGGAGGAGAAGGAGGAGAAGGAGGAGGAGGAGGGAGGAAGGAGGAGGGAGGAGGGAGGAGGGAGGAGGGAGGAGGGAGGAGGGAGAAGGGAGGAGGGAGGAGGGAGGGAGGGAGCCCGACGACGAGCCGCGCCCACTGCCCGACCCCCTGGCCGCCCCCCGCCCTGCCCGCCCCCCCTCCCTGCTTTGCCTGTCCCCTTTGGCCGGTCGCCCTTGCATGCGGTTTTTCTTTCCCTATTCGTCCCTTTCTTTCCTCTCATCTAATGTTGTGTTGGACTTTACTCGCTGGGCCTTCGTAGGAGTAACTCGCGCCTTTTAATTCAAAGCCCCCCCTGTGTCCCCACGGGTCCCCTTGGCGAATGGGGAGGGGGGGCCAACTCTGGCGCCTGTGGGTCTTTCCGCCAGGAGGGAGGGAGGGGGAGAACGAGGAGGAGGAGGAGGAGGACGAGGATGAGGAGGAGGAGGAGGAGGAGGAAGAGGAAGAAGAAGAGGAGGAGGAGGCGGAGGAGGCGGAGGAGGAGGAGGAGGAGGGGGGAGGTAGTCCGTAGCCATTTTGGCTCAAGGTTTGGGCTCCAACGCCTGGCAATCACCGATCCCACAGCTTGGTGTGATTGGCCAGGTGCAGCTCGGACCTCAGGCGTGTTCGCCGCGAATTTTTCTCCTGTACACCCGTACCATCACGGCAGGCCGACGAGAAGTGCCAGAGCCAGCCTGGCACAGACGGCTACGTCAGCAGCGTGCGAAGGCACGTTTATTGCTACGACTTGCCCAGGCGACAGATCTACTACGGAGACATCACTCAGCCCAAAAGATGAGTTCCCATTGGACATGCAGCAAGTGCAAGAAGAACATACCCAATCACAAATGGTTTTGCGCATGTGGCAACAAATGGGGGGACAAAACGACAAGGCCCAGATCCAAAGGCAGAAGGTGGGACATTCCTGTCAACTCCCAACAAGTATCGAGGGCGCAACAGCTGGAGCTAGGAAGAATTGCTGGCAAGATCCTTCAGGCCACACCAGAGACAGCATACAATCATCCGAAGTATTCTCAGCCGCCATAATAACCAGATCTTCAGCCATTATTCAGGGCAGAAATGAAGAAACAGATCACGTCACTGGCGGCCCTCATCAAAGCCAGCCGTTACGCAGGAAAAGAAGACCCGATTGCCGCGGAGGAGATTGCAGTATACAAGTTCATGGTCGCCCAAATGGAGCCCCTCGACAAGCAGATCGCAGGTGTCAAAATCATGATCGAAAGAAAGGCCGCCAGAGCAGCAGAGGTGCAGAAGAGGATGACAGAGCAACAGGAGGAGGCCGACACATTACTCTACGATGCAGAATCTCTCAAACAGACATTGGAGCAGCTCACCCAGGAAAAGGAGACGGAGAAGGACGCAGGCATGGGCGAGGCTCCAAGCCCACCCATACGCGCCAGGCCGACAATGGTCGGGTCAGCTTCTATGCCTTTCTGTTCTGCATCTGCATCAGCTGCGCCCATGCAGCCAGTCCTCAGCACGGTCCAGAGCACCCAGCAGCACCAGCGGGCCCAGGACGACATGACCAAACAAATGTTGGATTACATGGCATACAACAGCTCCATGCTGGCAGCTTTGCAGAAACAGTACCGACACCCGCCGCAGTCCGTGGGGTTTACTATGAGCACGGAGGCGCCGCTGTCACCAACGCCGGTTGCGTCGTCGCCTCCTTTTGCCCCAGCCTCCCCCACGGCTCCAACGGTACCAGGATCACCGACATCACAGGTCCTGGCAATGGCATGGTCGCCATCAAAGGGAAAAGGCAAGAGTTCCGAAGCTGGCAGCCCATACCCTACGGAGACCCCGCCGCTCACGGCAAAGCAGATGGCAATGATCAGCCCCACGCAGGAGATGACGCAGGACATCGAGCACATAC